CACCACAGACCTGGTATTGACAAATCAACACTCGGCTTCCCCCAAGTGGGATACAGGCCCCGCCGTCACCCCGGAGTGACATCTCACCAAATTGCAGCCAATGCTGACAAGACCCCATGGTGTAAAATGCGGCCCACAGCCCAGCCCAGCCCGGAAATAGTTGCTGTGGCTGCCAGGTAATGACGTCATGCAGCAATGCTCAGCTTCCTCTCCCTAGCAACTAGCCTCCTTGGAGTTTCTTCAGCCCAGGAACCCGATTTGCTTTATAGCCAGGTGCAAACATTTTACAGTTCAACCAAATGTTTGTGAAGCATTTTCCTGTGCCTCGTCTCATTTGATCCTCACAGAAGTCCTGGAGTAGGTAGATAGGAGATTCAGTAGAAAGACAATGGAGACTTAGAAAGTTTAGACACTTGACCCGACTGAAAAGAATAAATGGTGGAACTTAAAAATGACTTCAGGTTTTCTCACTGTGCAGAATAGTCAAACGCTGCTATAGTTCAATATTTTACCCTTTCTTCTCCCTGCGTGATCTATAATAATAATGTGCTTCATGTTGATATTTACTTCTGAGTTGCTGACAATTACCTGAAAGCGAAGTTGGGGTGCTTCACTGGGCTGGAAAAAGTTTAGCTAAATCAGAAAGCAGATCTAATTAAGCAAGTTTATCTATCCTATATAATAAAAGGCTAATATGCAAATAGACTGAATGGTGAACAACCAGACAACTAGTCACTATGACATGCGTTGACCACCAGAGGGCGTGTGCAGAACATGGTGAACATTGACTGCAGTGGGATGGTGGAGCAGGTGAGTGGGGGTGCCAGAATAAGGCAGGGCATTGGCTGCTGTCATCAGGGTGAGCCTCTGGTGGTTACTAAAAATTCTTTGCTCCTGCGTGCCGCGGTCCCACCTGGCATTCACACCTGCTCCTGGCGCTGGCCCTGCTTGCACCTGCTGAAAGCGCTGGAGCTGCCGTTCGCACCCACTGCCAGTGCCAGCCCCACTTGCACCCACAGCTGGTGCCGGAGCTGCTACTCACACCCACTGCCGGTGCCCAGCACTGGTCCCAATCACTCGGCACCATCAGCAGGTGCGAGCAGTGGCTGCCAGCCTGATTGCTCCTGAGGGCTTCTCCACCTCCCCCTGCTCCTGAGGGGCAATCAGGGCAGCAATCACCACTCACACTTGCTGCTGGCACCACCCTCCATTGCTCCCCACCATTAGTGGATTCGAGCAGAGCTGGCACCATCAGCGCATGGGAGCGGCGGGAGCAGGGCTGCTGGCAGACAGGGGACTGGGGCCATGGTGGGAGGGGGTGGGTGGAAGCACAGAGGATGGGCTGAGACCCGCCCCTGTGCCTACTGTAGGTTCTCGGCCCACAGTTCCTTTCAAGGTGCATGACTTTGTGCACTGGGCCCCTAGTCTATCCTATGTAATAATAGACAAACATGGTAATTGACCATACCTTCGCTACGCCTCCCATTGGCCAATCAGCACAATATGCAAATTAACTGCCAACAAAGATGGCGGCTATTTTGTATACTGCAGGCAGGGCGGGACAGCGCAGCCGCCAGCGCGAGCTGCCATCCTGGGCTGCAGGCTGGCCCCAGAAGCCCCAGAAGCCCCAGAAGCTGGTGATCATGGGGAGATGGGGGTCCCCTGCCCAGGCCTGACACCCCTGGCGGTGGCATCAGGCCTGGGCAAGGGGCCGATCCTGTGATCGGAGGGTGATGGGGGTCGACGCCTCTGGCCAAGGCATCAGGCCTGGGCGGGGGGCGGAGCTGGCAATCAGAGGGGTCTGGGGGTCCCCTGCCCAGGCCTGATGCCTGAGCCAGAGGCATTAGGCCTGGGTGGGGGGCAGAGCTGATGATCGGGGATATGGGGGTCCCCTGCCCATACCTAAAGCCTGGGCCAGAGGCATCAGGCCTGGGTGGGGGGCGGAGCTGATGATGGGGGGGGTCCCCTGACCAGGCATGACACCTCTGTCCGAGACATCAGGTCTGGGTGAGGGGCCCATCTGGTGATTGAAGGGTGATGGGGGTCGACGCCTCTGACTGAGGCATCAGGCCTGCGTGAGGGTGGAGCCAGTGATCAGGGGGAGATGGGGGTCCCCTGCCCAGGCCTGAAGCCTGGGCCAGAGGCGTCAGGCCTGGGGGGTGGGGGGAGGAGGCAAGCCAGCAATTGGTGTGAACTACAGAGGAAACACCTTTTCTGACCGCTCATTGGCTAAGCTCCCTGTATGCCACTGGTAATATTCTTAGTAACTTGTATAATAGGAATCCAAAAAGGTGATCTAGGGTTTTTCACCACACTCCTGGTGAAAAAAACGAAGGTCCGCTGCTAGAGGACTAAGAAATGTCATATCCTGCCCTAGCTGGTTTGGCTCAGTGGATAATGCCTTGGCCTGCCGATGGCAGGGTCTGAGTTCAATTCTGACCAAGGGCATGTACCTAGGTTGCAGGCTCCTCCCTCGCCAGAGCCCAGGTCAGGGTTCATGCAGGAGGCAACCAATCAAAGTGTTCCTCTCACTTTGATGTTTCTCTCTGTCTTTCCTTTTCTCTTCCACATTCTCTAAAAATCAATGGAAACATATCCTCAGGTGAGGATAAAAAAAATAATAAAGAAATTATTATTATATGAAAGACACATCTTGAAAATGCCTAAAGAAAGTTGTCATTTTTTCATGGTGAAGGGACTGGAGTCCGTGTTGATGAAAAAACCTTGCTGGCTATGGTGACTGGCAGTGGCTGCAGCAGCGCGGTGATGGGGCTGGTGCCTTCCCCTGATCAACCCGGTCACCTCCCACAAAGGGAGTCCAGACTGCAGCTTAGGCCCTATCCCCAAGGGGATCAGGGATAGGGCCTAAGCTATCACTAGGACATCCCCTGAGGGCTCCCAGTATGTGAGAGGGGGCAGGCTGGGCTGAGGGACACCCCCCCCCCCAGTGCACAAATTTTGTGCACCGGGCCCCTAGTATATATATAAGAGCCTGAGCGACCGAACAACCAGTCGCTATGATGCACACTGATCAACAGGGGGCAGATGCTCAACACAGGAGCTGCCCCTTAATGGTCTGTCTGTTCCCATAGCAAGAGCATCACTCAGCTGACCTACCCGGCCCAGCAGCCCACCAGCCAGGCGGCAGCCACTCACTTCTTCAGTAGTCTTGCAGGTCCAATCTCCAGAGAATGGGCCAGGCACCAAACAATCCCTGACAGTGCTGCTGGCCTCCTGGAAGTTGGCCTCCAGCACTGTGGCCACTTCCCCTCCATAGATTCTCCTCAAGGAAGAAACAATATAAAAGTATCCACCAGTTGGCTCCTAACAACCAGCCTGAATGTCAGCAGGACGGGAATCCCAGGCTGCAAGGGTGTCCCATTGCCTTCCCAGAAGGCTGATCATGTCCCGGCCCAACCCCAACCCCCCTTAGGGTCCCACTGTGCACAGATTCATGCACCTGGCCTCTAGTACATATATAAAAGGCTAAGTTGACTCACACATGCACAATACATACAAACCTCTCGCTGGTACAAATTGCATGTATGTGTTTTGATCCGTCATTGTCAATCATAAATTTGGTTTACACATCTATTGTAAAGAAAGGGCGAATAGCAATATTAAAATATTTCTTCTAATTTCCTTTCAATGTGCACGAGTCCGTGCACCAGGACACTAGTGTTTGTCATAATGTTGATATGTCCTTCCTCTTAGGAAACCACCAGTCTCTTTAATCAACAGATTCTGGATCTGAAAATTGACTTTGTTCCAGGAAATGAACTGAGATCATGATTTTATATCCCTTTAAAAAAGAATCTATCCAGAGTTAGAGTTAACACTTTATTGAATTAGTTTTTGTCCTATGCAATATTTACATAGTTGAAATCTTATAGATGATATATTTTGGCAAATACTATACCATAAATTCTCTCACAAACCATTTTGAGCATATTTTTCTTAAAAACATTATAATTTATAGGAGATGCAATTTTAAAAACTTGTATATAAAACAAAATAGCAAGGTTATAAATTATATAATTTAAAATATATTGAATATGGTGCTCTAACCGGTTTGGCTCAATGGATAGAGCGTCAGCCTGTGGACTCAAGGGTCCCAGGTTCGATTCCAGCCAAGGGCAGCTGATTGATGTTTCCCTCTCATCGATATTTCTAACTCTCTATCCCTCTCCCTTCCTCTCTGTAAGAAATCAATAAAATATATTTAAAAATATATATATATATTGAATATGGTAATTTAAAAGGGTATTACAGAATATCAATATTGTCTTGATTACAGAAGATATGATGCTGAATGTAGAATTTGATCTTGACCTAGAAAGTTATTATAATGTAGTCCAATAGTGAGAAGTGATTAACATTCTAGGCCAGTGCCATTGCATGAGCAAAATTATTGAGCAGAAATGCATCTGCACTATAGGAGGCTATAGAATGGAGTTGAGGAGGCTACCCAATTCCATTTATATTAAAGTCAGACATAAATTTGTATAGAAATTGTGGAACCAGAGCAAGATATTCTTCAGAGGCAGTTGTTTCCGGGAAAGTGAAAGATTCTTGTTGCTAAGCAGCTAAATATAGAATCTAGTCACCTGAGAGACAAACGAGGGTGGGCTAATGTTTCCCTTTGTTATGTGAGGTCTCAACGACCAATCTTTGTTCATTGATGAGTGTAGTACTAACAGTCTAGGAAGAAAAGATCATGGAAACTACTGTTTCTTCTGCTGGTAAGTCATTCATCAAATTTGGCTCTATGTACAAGCTGATAGCCAGAATATTATGTTGGACTAGAGGCCCGATACATGAAATTTGTGCAAGGGGCTCTGCCCTCACAGCCCCACCTCCTCGGTCAGCCCTTGCATTCCCCTCTTCATCGGTAAGGTCGTCCGGACACTTGCTCTGCTGTTCGGTCTAATTAGCATATTAGCTCCTTATTATATAGGATAATGTGAAGTTTAATTTTTGTTTTGTTTTCCTTTTTAAAGATGAGAGAGACTTGAGCATGATGGGGTAAGGTGTTGTGGATAGGTTGACCTCGCGAGCCACATGCGGCTCTTTGGCCCCTTGAGTATGGCTCTTCCACAAAATACCACGTGTGGGCGCGCATGTACAATGCGATTGAAACTTCGTGGCCCATGCGCAGAAGTCGGTTTTCGGCCTGGGTGAGTCTATTTTGAAGAAGTACTGTTGATATTTGGCTCTGTTGACTAATGAGTTTGCCGACCACTGGGACTCTAGGGCAAACTAGAATGAATTGCTTACCCTAATTATCAGTTAAAAACCGGTAAAAATAACCTGACTAGTGTGGCTCAGTGGTTGAACATTGACCTATGAACCAGGAGATCACAGTCAGGGCACATGCCTGGGTTGGGGCTTAATCCCAGGTTGAGGGCATGATTGCCCTTATTATATTAGGTAGCCAACTGATGATTCTCTCTCATCATTGATGTTTCCATCACTCTCCCCTTCTCCTTCCCCCTCTCCCCCTGAAATCAATAAAAACACATTTTTAAAAACTGATAAAATAAGACAAAATAGAGTTGAAAGTAGGGAAAATTGACCGGATCAGTCCTCAAGTACATAGGAGATGTGATCTTGGATTGGGATATGGAGTGGGGTAAAGGAAAAGTAGAAATGGGCAATAATTCAGATTAGTTTGTACTGGTGAAAATCTTAGAAGCCATTTTATCTTTGAATTTGGCATCACTATAGATATACATTTATACTGTGTTCCAAAGTAATAAATCCATTTTATATTGTGCCCCAATGGCCGCAAACACCCCCCAAATTTTGGCATAAGAGTTGCTGTGGTGTATGGGAGTTTTGGTATAGAAATGGAAAAAGTATATGCTAGAATTAAACCAGTTTTCTTTCTTTTGCAAATTAGAATTACTGTAGAGCTTTTGGGAATTAAAGGTTTTGTCAGAAAGTGGTTGAAGTGATAGAACTGACCAACTAGACTCAAATGGAATGGAACTGAAGGCAGAGGCATGAGATTGAGAGAAATGGGAGATAATGAAAGACAAAAATATGTGGGTTCTCTTTGAGTTTAAGGAATAGGTATAGCATGAGTAAGGAGAGCTGGAATGATTAAAGTTATTGGTAAGTTGCTTGGGGTATAAGAAATGGTTTGGTTTTGCTTCATTTGGTGACGACGAGGTATAGATTATGACTACGGGTGGGTAAACTGAGGTACACTGAAGCTGAATTGGAGAGGTTGAAAAATCCTTCTGGTTTTCAGATGAGTTGTCTATATACTTGCTATTATTTTTCATGATTTTTGATGGAGCATAAGACTGTCTTGAAGTTTGTATAAGAATGATAGGGAGTGGTTAATGGAAGAGTGAGAAAAAAAAGTTAAAAATTAATGTAGTCAAATGTAGCAGGATGAATAGTTTGGAAATGACTTCATGGGGAATATAGGAACCCAGACTCTGAACCATGAAGTATATAGGGCTTCTGAGAATTGGATTTCTCTAAAGCAGCGGTTCTCAACCTGTGGGTCGTGACCCCTTTGGGGGTCAAACGACCCTTTCACAGGGGTCGCCTAAGACCATCGGAAAACACATATATAATTACATATTGTTTTTGTGATTAATCACTATGCTTTAATTATGTTCAATTTGTAACAATGAAAGTGGGGGTCACCACAACATGAGAAACTGTATTAAAGGGTCGAGGCATTAGGAAGGTTGAGAACCACTGCTCTAAAGTGAGCTTTAGGGAAAGCTCAAGTTTAATATGATAAGTATATGTACAGGAGCTCTGTGAAGAGGTTTAGGATTCATTTTGGTTCTCTTTCTCCTTCTTCCTCCCTCTTTCTTTGTCATAAAAAAAATAGAGCTGAAGTCATAAAGGAAGCGGTATGGACAGATGACATAGAAGGATTTGAATCAGGTTAAAAGAAGTATTGACTAGGGATTAATTCAGAGTCCAGCAGATTATTGGTAGTGGGTCAGGCATCTTCATTTCCATTTCCCCTACGCAAGCCTAATCAGATTAAATTAAAACCCAAGTACATCCAACTGCACCAATTATCAACATATAGCCAATTCTGTGTTATCTATAACCCCCAACTGCCCGCCCCCATTTATTGAAAGGAAATCTAAAGCATTTTCATGATTCATTAATCACTTTTCACCATTCAGTTCTTTCTCTCTCCCACTTTCCTTACTTCCCATCACCTTCCCCACCCTTGTTTTTATTTTCAATTTCAGCACTGAAGCTCTGCCAGGAATCAGATCCTTAAAGGCCAGCTCTGCACAATGACCAGCTCAGAGGCAGGAGCCAGAACAACAGTGCCTCACACACTCTTTTTGTCTGGATAGATGACTCCGTAATGGCAGCTCCATAATGGAGGCTAGTGAGGCCAGCGTGTCCATGAGAATTGTTATCCTGCTGCTCTGGGTTGGGGTGTTTCTATCCCTTTCTGGCCTCTCCCAGGCTAGGCTTTCTCAACACCTCAGCTCCCCAGAAGTGGTGGTCCCCCTGAAGGTGACAAGCAAAAGCAGAGGTTCACAGGTTCCGAGCTGGCTCTCCTATAGCATTCAGTTAGGGGGCTGGAGACACATTATCCACATGAGGGTCAAGAAGTTCCTGGTTTCCAGACACCTACCAGTGTTCACCTACACGGACCAGCATGTCCTCCAGGAGGATCAGCCTTTTGTTCCTGATGACTGCTACTACCATGGTTATGTGCAGGGGGTCCCAGGGTCCCTGGTTGCCCTCAGTACCTGTTCTGGAGGTTTTCAAGGAATGCTACAGATAAATGACCTTGCTTATGAAATCGAGCCCATCAGGCACTCTACCACATTTGAACACCTGGTGTATAAGATAGACAGTGATGGTACACAGTTCCCACCTATGAGATGTGGCTTGACAGAAGAGAAAATAGCACGCCAATTGGAGTTGCAAGAGTTGCCTAAGTCCACTCTGATGCAAAGTTCTTATATGAACTGGTGGACTCACTTGCGATTTCTTGAGCTGGCAATAGTTGTGGACCACTTTCGATACATTTACTCTGGAAGTAATGTGTCAGCAGTGCAGCGTGAACTACTTAATGTTGTCAGTATGATAAATCTCTTATACCGCCCTTTCAAGCTTAATGTAATTTTGACCGGAGTTGAGGTCTGGAATCAAAGAAACCTAGTTCCCACTGATGACATAGATCAGCTTCTGGATGACTTTGGTCTCTGGAAGTTTGTCAATCTTGATGGCCGACTGCAACATGATGTGGTCCATCTTTTCATAAAAAAATTTTTTGGGGTTAAGCTTGGTATTGCCTACACTTCAGGAGTATGCCGGAAGCCTTTTAATACTGGAGTTGATGTTTTCCTAGACCACAATGTGAACTCTTTTGCACTTACTGTGATCCATGAGCTTGGTCATAATATGGGTATGCAGCATGACACTGCATGGTGTGTGTGTGGTTTCAAGTGGTGCGTAATGGCAGCCATGAAACGGCTAACAGTTAAATTCAGCAACTGCAGTTATGCCCAGTATTGGGACACTACGATTCGTACCGGTTCATGTATTTACACTCCTCCATCTCCAGGGAATATTTTTAGTCTGAAGCGCTGTGGAAATGATGTGGTTGAAGAAGGAGAGGAGTGTGACTGTGGATCTGTAAAGCAGTGTGAACAAGATCCATGTTGTCTGTTGAACTGCACTCTGAGCCCTGGTTCTGCTTGTGCTTTTGGGCTGTGTTGCAAAGACTGCAAGCTCATGCCATCAGGGACTTTGTGCAGACAACAGATCAGTGAATGTGACCTTCCAGAGTGGTGCAATGGGATATCCCACCAGTGCCCAGAAGATGGATATGTGCAGGATGGGATTCCCTGTGGTGACAATGCCTACTGCTATGAAAAGAGTTGTAATAGCCACGACAAGCAGTGCAGGGAGATTTTTGGTGAAGATGCAAAGAGTGCATCTCAGGAGTGCTACAAAGAAATCAACTCCCAGGGAAACCTTTTTGGCCACTGTGGTCTAAATAGTACGACATACCTAAAATGTAATACCTCAGATATCTTCTGTGGGAGAGTTCAGTGTGAGAATGTAAGAAACATTCCCCATCTAAGAGATCACTCTGCTTTGCAGCACACACATATCAATGGTGTCACCTGCTGGAGTGTCGGTTATTATTTAGGGATAAACACACCTGATATCGGTGAAGTGAAAGATGGCACCATGTGTGGTTCAAGAAAGACCTGCATACAGAAGAAGTGTGTCAGTCTCCCCCTCCTATCACAAGTCTGCCTGCCTGAGACCTGCAACATGAAGGGAATCTGCAATAATAAACATCACTGCCACTGTGGCTATGGGTGGTCCCCGCCCTACTGCCTGCACAGAGGCTATGGAGGTAGTGTTGACAGTGGCCCGGCATCTGCCAGAAAAGGCGTGTTCTTTCTAGTTATGATTCTTAGTTTGTCTGTTTTGCTCCTACTGTTGACTACTGTATTTATATATCTCCAAAAATGTGTTGGTCCCTAGAAGACCAAGGCTCACCCTTCCGATTAAGAAAATGCCTCTAATTTAATATCTTACACATTATAAAGTTTTAGTTTCTTGGAGGTAGCAATGTTACATGCCTGAAGCACATTTCCAACAGTTCACCAAAAAAAAAATGCAGAGACCTTCCTTTATATAGATCAATATCAGAAACATTGCCATCAAGAAAAGGTCATTCCCAACATCTTCCTAACTACTATTCATTGTGTAAACAGCAAATAAAGCTCCAGTTTCCCTCTGAGTTGGTACACTTTGTGTTTCTTGAGTGCATATATGACTCATGGGAAAGCTGGGAGACAGACATCTAAAGGCCTATAAGTGAGTCTTGCCTCTCCATTTATTCCCAAAGTAATTTCTCAAAGGTAAAGAGAATACGTTCATTGTTGTCAACATAGTGAATACCATTTATCAACAGTTGGGTACTTATGTGATTTTGATTGGGATTGAAATTTGGAATCTTGGAAATGTTTTCCCAATGATAAGCATAGAACAAGTTGAGACTGCAAGGTCATGCCATCAACAGAATTCTGTAGAAACCAGGTCAATGAATATGACCTTCCAGAGTGGTGCAATGGGACACCCCATCAATGCCCAGAGGATGGATATGCACAGGCCTGGATTCCCTGTAGGGACAGTGTCTCCTATTATCAAAAGAAATGTAATGAAGTTGGGAAAATTACTTAAAATTTCTAACATTCTGCTCCAAAATCTGAAAAGGAAGAGGATGCTATTGCTTGTCCCACCCAAACTATTGGGTCTATTTGGTAACCCAAAGAAATTCCTGTTAAAGTATAAACAAATTATTGTTTAATAAAAACTCCTGGCCCTGTACCCTCTGTGTTTTCTAACCAAGTTTGTCTGCTTTCTGTGCCTTAATTTAGTGGTTTGGTATCCTCTTGGAGTATTTTCTTTGAATACCAGAACATACTCTCTGTGAGGGCAGGGTTGTTTATATCTGTTTTTGCATACTGTTTCATCCCAATATATAGAACAGTGCCTTATATACAATAAATATTTGAAAGAAACATTATAAATGGATTATCAATTACATGAAATTAATTAGGAAAATTAAAAATAAAACTTACTCCTGTTTTTATTTTTTTAAATATATTTTTATTGATTTTTTTTTACAGAGAGGAAGGGAGAGGGATAGAGAGTTAGAAACATCGATGAGAGAGAAACATCGATCAGCTGCCTCCTGCACACCCCACACTGGGGATGTGCCCGCAACCAAGGTACATGCCCTTGACAGGAATCAAACCTGGTACCCTTTAGTCCATAGGCCGACGCTCTACCCACTGAGCCAAACCAGTCAGGGCTTACTCCTGTTTTTAAAACCACTGAAGGTCCTGCTCAAAACTGGACATTGAATATTTAAAATAGTGTGTATTTATAATGCTCCCTTTGGTTCTTACCCTTCAGCAGCCTCTTTGTCCCAAATTTTTTTTTCCTATTCTGTTTTCAATGCTTTTGGAAAGCCTGTCTATTGGAAATACATATCTAATCAGGTAACCTCTATGTATGATCTAAATAACTTCTAAATGATAGTCTTTGTACATTTAGTCTTTTTGATATCATTTTCCATTATGTTTTGCATTCTTTGCACCCTCTGAATATTTTCTGTTCTGAATATACTTGGCTGTGTTGTGTGTCTGCACATCTGTACATGCAATTCTCATTCCAAAAATGCTGTTTACCACCCCCACCCCCACCCACCATCTGTACCCAGGCCCTGGAAAACTCCAATTTTTCTCTCCATAGAGTTTAAACATCATACCTTTGGAAAGGCATTTCCTTGTGAAATGTTATGTGTTCTGCTTATGTGCTTCTGTCACTTTGTGGTCATCCCTTTGATGCACTCTAGGAATATATGAGGATAACATCTAACAACCTACCAGCCAGGGATAGAAAGAAGAAAATGACATGTAGTAGAGCCATAGAAACATGGAACCATAAACCAATAACACAATCTGATTAAACTTGGAGAAGATCCACCTGTTTTAAGTGTATATGGCCATCTGGAGACAAAAGGCAGCTGTTCCAGTTTACTGTCTTTTGAAGTTGTTTTATTTTTGTTAAAAAAAATAAGGTACATTTGATGATAGTCAAATTTATCAATTGAATAATTCTTTTAAGCTTATATAGGATTTATATATTTTAAAAATATTTTTATGGCCCTAACCAGTTTGGCTCAGTGGATAGACCGTCGACCTGTGGACTGAAGGGTCTCAGGTTCGATTCCGGTCAAGGGCATGTACCTCGGTTGCGGGCACATCCCAGTAGTGGGTGTTCAGGGGGCAGCTGATCGATGTCTCTCTCTCATCAATGTTTCTAACTCTCTATCCCTCTCCCTTTCTCTCTTTAAAAAATCAATAAAATATATTTTTTTTAAATTAAAACAATATTTTTTTATGATTTTGTAGAATGAACCTCCCATTGCAAACATAGAGTCTTACCTGCTATTTTATTTGGATTCCCCAAAAAGCAAATGCTAAGACCAGGATTTAGGTTGAGTTAGCTTATTTGGAAGCACAAAAAGAGCATATTAATGAGCAAGTTCCCACTGTGAGCTACTGGGGCTATCCCCCTGCAGACTCAATAAGAAGCCATGTGAAGTACGCCTCAGAATACCCCTCCATGGCGCAGGAGAAAGCTGTCAGGAAAAGAAGTGAGCTACAACACTTAAAGTGGGAAACTGCCAGAGATGGACATTGTCTACTGTAACTGCCAGGGGGTAGGGTGGGCCATAAACCTCTACTGTATTCAGGTCCCCTAGAAAACAGATGCTAGGGCAAGGATTAAATGCAAATCTATCTTCTGTTGTACTGGCGACAACTCCTATATACACTAATGCCTTTGTACTTTACAGGAGTATGCTTGGCCCATTCAGGAGCAGGCTGGGAGCAAGAGGAGGTTAATACATCTGGAAGTAACTGTTAACCAATGAGAGATATTTTGTAAATATATCTCACAGCTTCCCCAATCCTCATGGGATAAGTGTGAGGTGTCTGACAATGTGTCTCAGACAGGCCGCAGTAGAATTCTGTCCTGGTGGCTCACATGGTCATCCATGTATGCTTGACTTGCTTTTAACCCTTTCCTGTCTCCGTTTTCCACTCTTTCACTATAGACTCACATCTTGGGACTGTATCTACACTAATAAAAGAGAAACATGCAAATTGGTGTCACGCCACTACCCTTCCCATTGGCTAATCAGGGTGATATGCAAATTAACTGCCAGCCAAGATGGCGGCCGGCAGCCAGGCAGCTTGAAGCGAACATGAGGCTTGCTTGCTTCAGTGATGGAGGACTCCAACGTTCCTCACCTGCCACTGCCGGCCTCTGAGCTTGCAGTTTGAAACATTGTTACAAATATAGAAGCTAAACAAAACTCCAGAAACCTGCTTTCAGCCAGCCAGGATCTCAGAGCTGGAGTTGAAACAGTGTTTCGATTATAGAACCCAAACAAACCAGATACCTGCTTTCAGCAGCCGAGGCCTAAGAGTTGGAACCAAGCCTCAGAGCTAAAGCTGACCCAGAATAAAAAAAGAAAAAAGAAAAAAAGGAGCGGTTGGGAGCTTCAGTCACCCGCCAGCCTGAAAACAGCCCTCAGCCCCTCACCCAGACTGGCCAGGCACCCCAGTGGGGACCCCCACCCTGAAGGGTGTGTGACCAGCTGCAAACAACCATCATCCCCTCATCCAGGCTGGCCAGGCACCCCAGTGGGGACCCCCATCCTGATCCAGGACACCCTTCAGGGCAAACCAGCCGGCCCCCACCCATGCACCAGGCCTCTATCCTATATAGTAAAAGGGTAATATGCCTCCCAGCACCGTGATCAGCGGAGCCACGAGGCCTCCCGGCACCGGGATCAGCGTGACAGGGGGCAGCGCCCAAACCCCCTGATCGCCCTGTGGCTCTGTGTGTGACAGGGGGCGGGGCCACATCCTCCCTATCCGCCCTGCTCTGTTCGTGACAAGGGAAGGCGCCCCAACCCCCTGATCAGCCCTGCTCTGTGCCTGATAGGGGGGAGCTCCCCAACCCCCTGATCGACCTACGGCTCTGTGTGTGACAGGGTGCGGCGCCCCAACCCCCTATCGGCCCTGCTCTGTGAGTGACGGGGGGAGCTCCTCAACCCCCTGATGGGCCCTGCTCTGTGCATGACAGGGGGGAGCTCCCCAACCCCCTGATCGCCCTGCGGCTCTGTGTATGACAGGGTAGAGAGCCCCAACCCCCGTGATGGGCCCTGCTCTGTGTGTGACAGGGGGCAGCGCCCCAACCCCCTGATCGGCCCTGCTCTGTGCGTGACAGGGGGTGGCGCCGCAACCTCCCCATCGACCCTGCCTTGAGTGTGACAGGGGGCGGTGCCCCAACCCCCCAATCGGCCCCACCCTGAGTGTGACTAGGGGCGGCATCGCAACCTCCCGATCTGCCCTGCTCTGTGCATGACAGGGGGCGGCGCCCCAACTCCCCAATCGGCCCTGCTCTGAGCCTGACCAGGGGCTGCACCTAGGGATTGGGCCTGCCCTCTGCCACCCGGGAGCAGGCCTAAGCCAGCAGGTCATTATCTCCCAAGTGGTCCCAGACTGCGAGAGGGCACAGGCCGGGCTGAGGGACTCCCTCTCCCCCCACCCCCGAGTGCACAAATTTTTGTGCACCGGGCCTCTAGTTTCTAATAAGCTGCCTCACACTCAAATTTTTATCTCAGGGACTCAGGGTCAGGGATGGTTAGTATCAGAAGTGTTCTTTAAAAGGAGATGCGTAGGATGTGAGATTCTAGAACTGGATTGCTTATTTGTCAGAAGGCCACTAGGACTCACAGTTGCAGCTGGTGGATTTGTAACAACTGGTGTGCTGCAACACCAGAAACTAAGACTCTCACTTGAGGGTGTTTAGATGAGGTACATATGGCAGTGGTGCCCTGGCTTATACAATAGCTCTCATGTTTGAATTAGAAATATGAAGATTATAAAGTTAGTTAA